ATGTTTCTATGTCACTGAATCTATTTTGTTCATCAGTTTATTATATTCTTTAGATTCCACATATAAATGAGATCATGTGATATTTGTCTTTCTCTGCCTCGCTTATTTCACTTAGCGTAATATTCTCCAGGTCCATCCATACTGTCCCCAAAGGGTAATAATCCCACTTCTAGGAATATATCCCAAGAATCCCAAAACACCAATCAAAGAATATATGCACCCCTATGTTCATAGCAACGCAATTTACAATAGCTAAGATCTGGAAACAGCCCAAGTGCCCATCAATAGATGAGTGGATAAAAAAGCTGTGGGCCCAGCCGGGCGTGGCTCAGTGGTTGAGCGTCGACCTAGGATCCAGGAGATCAGGGTTCAATTCCCGGTCAGGGCACATGCCCCGGTTGCGGGCTAGGCAGCCGATCAATGACTCTCTCATCATTGATGTTTCTATCTCTCTCTCTCCCCCTCCTTTCCTCTCTCTGAAATCAATAAAGATATATTTAAAAAAAGAAAAAAAAGAAAAGCTGTGGGACATTTACACCATGGAATACTATGCAGCTGTAAAGAAGAAGGATCTCTTACACAGGTTTTAAAGGGGTCCCTGAAACACACTGAAGGAGAAGATATGTGTGCCAGGCTCAGCATGGCCTAGACAAAGTAAACGTGGGAGCAAGTGATGGCAGAGCAATGAGAGGGGCCCAGTGAGCTCCCTTAGCACCCTGGAGTGCAGGAAACCTGCTGCAGCAAGGGAGATGGGGAATAAGTGGGCTGGCAGGAAACAGTTCCCGGTGCTGCTACACCTCAGAAATGCAGCACTCTCAGCCAGGCTCGAGGTCACCCCAGGGCCACTGTCCTCCCTCTACTCTTAAAGTGCAAACAAGGAGCCAACGCTACTCCTGCTCAGGAACACCCCCTCAGTCAGACCAGCAGCAACACACTGGTTGAAGAAAAAACAAATTGTAAAAAATTTATGATTATATAAATTGCCCAAATATTATTATTTATCATTGTAAAAAAGCAGTCATTATAAAAATGTAGCACAGATAAATAAAAATAAGAAAAATTAAATTCCAATTACCTAGAATCCTGTGACCAGAAACTATAGTAAATATGTTTGGCTATATATGTCCAGATGTTTAAAACATGTAAACAACAAATCTAGGTCTTTTCTTATGCGAATATGCGTATGGTATATACTTTTTAAAATGGCACTATTCTCTATAAATTGTGCTACAACCTGCTTCTCTCACTAACTATTCATGTATATTGAGTATGCCTCCCTAGGTGGCTCATTTCTCGATTGAGAGTATCCTATCTAATGCTGTGTGGAATTTCATGAAGAATATTTTATTCAATAATCCCCTATTGTTGGGTATATGGTTTGTCTCCAACCTGAGCAAAAAGGCCGAAGCAGTGACCCTTCTAGCACCCAGTTGTGGGCCCAGCACCCACATCAGTTCTATTACTTACAGCAAACTCCTCGGGAGTAACTTTCAAGACATCGAAGACAACGGCATCGTAGCTCTTGCTGGCATAGTCGCAGCTCTGGCCCTCCAAAGAGTCTGAGCTGCTGCTGCCCTGTGGGGGACAGGGAGAGATGGTGCCACCTGAGTAGTCTGGCTGACTCCTGAGTCACTGCCTCCCACCCCTCAGAACTGAGGAGGCAGGAGTGACAGACCTGTATAATGGTAAAAGCTTGTATTGTTTAGTGCTTCACTTTGTTCCAGGCACGGTGGTAGGCACTTCATGTGCATCATTTAATTCTTGTAACAACTCTGAGTACACACTGTTACTATTCCCATTTTACAGATAAGGAAGTAGAGGCAATGTTACTTCCCCAAGGTATCTCTCAGCTAGTAGTGAAGAGCCAGAAAGTGAACCTGGTTTTGTATCTACCTGATCCCAGATCACTACTCCCCACCTGCTTCCAGCTGCCTGCGTGGTGGTGGGGTCAAAAGTACAGCCCCTCTTCCTTCAGAGAGAACAGGCCTTCACATCTTAGGGGCCAGAGGAGATCACCTCTTTTGCTATGTCTTTCAAACATTTCCTGGTTTTACCTTTTTTTCCCCCTACTTGAAGTCATTGCAGGAAATTGTTACACAAAATACTAAACTGGCTCTCAAGGCTTATTTCATGCATGGGCCACTTGGAATTCAAAGCCTGTGAGCTGATGAGGTGAGAGGCAACCAACTGGCCTTGGAGACAGGCATGAAAGTTATATTTAGTAGAGTCCCCTGTTGGGAAGAACACTGTGAGTCCTGCAAGTAAAGAAAGGGTCTCCCAAAAAAAGAGTAAGTGAAAACTCCCCAAACGTGGCCAGTTGCATGAAACCCAACACTGCAGGGATCCCAGAATGCTAAACATACCTTCTCTCCATTTCATTTAATTTCATCAAATTCTCCTTTGGGGAACCAATCACACTTACCACCCAAAAATTGTGCCCTGTTCATAAACAGTTTTATTCGTCTCAATCCACGGAGAGGGATTTTGTGGTTTCCATTAACCTCAACATCTTGGACTGGGATTTAGAGAATATGCTTTTATTAATTCCTCTTTATTTCACTCTTTCCAAAATGGCTATATCTGGAAAAACTTTGCAATCTTACTGGAAACTCGAGTGCTTTTAGGCCAGTGAGGGAAACCAATAGTCAACAACTGAAAATGTGAGGTTAAAAGGAGGAGCAGAAACTTAAACCTGTAGATTTCAATAGGCCTGTGTCATTTAGAGGTTTTACAAATGAGTCTACTATACTAAAAACTCCAAGATGATCTTAAGAAGCAGTGTCCTGTGTGGTGTGGTTAGGAGCTCCACACCAGCCCCACACCAGCTGCTGTCCGACCTCAGACAAGTGACTTCATCTTACTGAGTCTCATTCACCTGTAAAATGGCACTATTGGAACCTACTCCCCGGGGCTGTAGTGCGGGTTATATAAAGTGAAGCTCACAGAGCCAAGGGCAGAATCCTCTCCCCTCCCCGAGAGATGCTGGTTTTAGGGTTCGAAGGGCCTAGGTGGGCTCAGGCGTAGCTATTTTAGAAGTTGTTTGGATAATAGGACAGCCTCCCCTGAGGAAAACTTGTGTTACACTTTTGAAAGTAATGAAGACTAACCCTGAAACAGACTAGCCGTCTGTTTTACTCCTCTGTCCTATACACACCCTGAGCGGACAAGAACCTGTACATCACTCCACACTTCCACGCCCATCTTCCAGGAAGCAGGCTGAAGCAGGTGACAGGGCAGGTTTTCTTCAGGATGGTGTAGTGTCATCATGGTCAGGAGCACACCAGCTCGAGTCACAGAGGCCTGGCTTTGAATCCCACCCACCAGTGACCAGCTATGTTATCCAAAGCTAGTTTACCCACCTCTCCCTGCCTTAGTTTCCTCATGCACAAAACAACAGGCTTATAATATGGACTGGGGTAAAACAACAGTCCATACCTCATGGGGTTATTGTGAGGACTAAGTGAGATAATGCCTGTGAACACGCAAAAAAAGTGCCTGCTATATATAGTCAGCACTAATCAGCAGATGTGTGCGAACGTGTCATTTAGTCACCAACATTTACTGAGAGCACTTCAATTATACATGTATCCATTCATACAACAAATGTTTACTGAGTACTTACCATGTTCTGGATACACACATACATGTATATGTGTATACACACATGTGTGCATACACACAGTATATACGTATGCATATATGCACACACACGTGTATGTATACAGAGAGGGAGAGTAGAGAAAAAAGAAGTTTTACTTTAGATGGAGTGTAAACTATAAATAGAAAAAGAAGTGTGATTCCTCTAGTTACCAAACAGAGTCCATTCCTGGGTGTCAGGTTTTATAACTTTCCTGTAATGCTCATTGCATCTACCCTAAACATACACTCATACAAGGGTCCTTGTTTAATCAAAAGTTGCCCCAAATACATTCATTGGCGGTCGTGGTGGCAGTGGTGATCATGCAGTAACTTTATTTAAACCTATGTTGGCGCCATCAGGAAATTTTAAAAGGTACCAACAAGTCTGCTTTTCAGAATTAGAGATCAAAACAGAAAAACTTTCAAAAGGTTTATAAGAAATGAATTAGTTCCTGTGAATTTCTAGCTGATTACATAGGATCATTTCAAAAGCCCAGCTCAACTATGAGGGCCTATGAGCTCAGAACACAGCATGTCCAGTCTGTCATAGGACCAGGTGTTACGCACTGGGTGGGGTGGCATCCCCGGGCCACAGATAACACCCACTCCCCTTGTGTGCCTCTGTTCCATTACTGAACTTGGAAGGCAAACTCCCAAACCCCCAGAGAAAGGCCGTGGCCCAGCCACTCTCAGACCACCAGTCCTTACAGCCATTTCCTCCTGAGCAAGGTAAATAAGAGCACAGGGCCAGTTGGAATCACTTCTGTCTGACTTCATTCCGGAATGTGTGACTTATTTATAATCAGCAGCGGCTTTTCTGGGGAAAGGTCTGATCTCTTCTTGCCACCAAAATGGAATGTGGCACTTGCTAAGACTGGACCAAGCAGGTATTTGTTTTTCTTTGAAGAGAACGACTTCAGAAAACATACTGATCCTCAGGACTGACTGCCTCCCAAATCTCACGCCCGGCGTGGCCGGGGGCCTCAGGAGTGCTAAGAATGGCGGTATTCATGGAGCCCTGCAGCCTTGCCACCCATGACTCAGCTAGAGCCTGGGTCAGCTGAAGAGAAGGGGCGCCCACTGTCCAGATCCTCGCAGGCTCCATACCTGTGGAGTGGCAGAGGTGACCAACACGCTAGCCATCAGACCATTCCTCTTGTACATAGTCTCCAGGCCGCAGGGAGCTTCAGGGCAGCCTTTGTCGGTGACATAACCTGTCTGGAGAAGTCCTGCAAGGCAAAGGAGCTCATAAGAACCAGCCCTCAAAGACAACTAGATCCCACTCCTGGGGAAAAGTCGTTCGAGACTTGAGCAGATGACCCTAGAAGAGACGTTTGAAGAAAGGTTATAAGCTGGTGGCCTTCAAGCTAAATGTAGCCCACAACCCCAGCAGGTTTGGCTCCGTGGTTAGAGCGTCGGCCTGCAGACTGGAGGGTCCTGGGTTCAATTCTGGCCAAGGGCATGTACCTTGGCTGCAGGCTTGACCTCCGGCCCCTGGTTGGGGTGCGTGCAGGAGGTAACCAATCGATGTGTCTCACTCACATCGATGTTTCTCTCTTTCTCTTTATGTTTCTCTCTTTTTCTCTCTCTCTCCCTCCCTCCCTCACTCTTCCACTCTCTGCAAAGCAATGGGG